GCAGGAAGGCTTTAAAGCAAGGTTACTTGAGACTGTTCCTGGCTGTATTTTCAACTCTTGAACACAGCTACAGCTGCCTAAGCATTACTAGATCAGCAGTAAAGTCCTTCAGTCACTGACAGGAATCTGCTTAGGGAGCAGGAAAGATGGCACAAACAATCTTCAGTGCTATTTTAGTCATGACAGTTTTTGCACAGATGTACAAAAGGAAATGTCTGTCAGAGTTTTTGTTAATAGCTCACTTACCTCACGCATGGCTAATCTGTCACTCAGCTCCTCAGCCTTAGCAATGTCACCTTCAGCCACAGACTTCTCTACGCTAAGTTCAAGGCCAGACTATCAAAAAAAAAAAAGTTAAATATCTTTAAGACAAAAAGAATACATTTAAAGGGAGCCTGAACATATTTAAGAGTCTCTCCTTCCTAAAAATATTTCTTTCATAAAATTCCCTAGGACACTGCATAAACCTGTAATTTCTACGTAACACAAATCACTTTGTCTATGTATTGTAATGGACAGTATAATTAAGAATTCACTGAAAGGCTGTCTGAGCACAAATCATTGCATTAGTTCCACCTTATGTGCAGGATAATACTATAGGTTAAAAAAATTACACGGACTAGTTTATGCCTGTCACAACAAAATTTCATCTGAAGATCTGACTTATCTCTTCCATCCCTGGAGCTTTCTAAACAAAATGTGAAATATATGTGTCAGGTAACATGAAGAATGGCAATTACCACTGTATCGTTACAGTTCTGAGATCTTATCTTGATCCAAAACCTGAGTTTTGGCACGTTGCCACTGCACTGTACCAAGAAATTAAAAATTCTAGCAGCCCCATGGAAAACAATGGAAAAGCTTTAGAATTAAGTATTTTCTTATTTTTGGTGGTTATGGTCAATGTAACATAACTTGTTTGACAACAACATTTACAAATAACAAAACAATAAAAAGTAAATATTTCCTGGAAATCAGAGTTGGAAACTTCTTAAGTCAGTGCCTACTGCTCTGCCTCTGTGTTCCATCAGAATTTTATGAAAGAACTCACTCTCATAACAAAAGCCAATTTACAGCCTCACTGAATTTAAATGTTAGTGATGCTAAAGAAAACACATTAGACAGTTTCATAACTTAGACTGTTTTGAAAGATAAAAGCAAAAAAAGCTAACGGAATTGCTGAGAACCTGATCTGCAAACACTGACTTGTCTCAGGTGGTAGCGGGAACAAAAAGTGCACAATTGGAAGTTGCAGTGACAGCCAATTCTGTTAGATCTTTCCTGCAAATAATGACACACATTCCACTAGTGACAAAATCCCTGAAGTTGCTTGAAAACGGTGTGCATTTTAACCCTTTGGCCTCATTCCAGATCTATCCTGAGCAGTTTAATGACACCTATATAGCAGCGAACAATGTCTCATGACTTGCATGTAGAAACTTCCTTTAAGCAAATGAAAAATATAAAATTTATCACAAAGGAGGCTAAACTGAACATTTGATGCCATAGAACATACACAGGAGTCTACCAGAAAAATTGCAGAATAAACAGTGCTAGCAGGAACTCAATATAATGAGTTTCTTAGCTTGACCATCATGTGCACGAGCGATTTAAAATATGACTAGCTACACAATAACATTTATGAACAGAATGAGTTGCAAATCCAGTAAAAGTGTATGCTGTGTTTGCCCCTTGTGTTTGGTCTCTCACAACAAGAGAAAACAAAACTAGATAGGAAACAAGCCTGGACACTGTCTCAAAAGAAAGCACAGCAACCATTCAATTCAAGTATGATTCATGTGATCTCTAAAAGGACATTAATTAAAAATATGCACAAAGTTGTCCTTCCTCAGAGCAACTTGATAATTTACTCTCAAACAGCCTCAGCTCTCAGTAAAGGTTGAGTTCTCTTACTGCCAAGTACAAGCTGACACTGCCTTTGTATCAACAGTCACCTTTTGTGGAGCTCTGCTATCCACAGGTGATTCAAATCTATCATTGATTCCAAAGTATTGTGTAAGTTCTTTCCATTTGTCTTCATTTTCCAACTGTTGACTACTAAAAACAAACAAACAAGTAATTAATATAACCAGTTCCCTTGCCACAACTTGCAATATCCTTTTCAATGCTAAGATAAATTCTTCCATTCAGCAGACATGCTCTTTTCACCCATTCAGTTTTTAATTGAAGAGAAATTAATTATTCCTTCCCCTCTGTAAGTGTAATTCCATAATCTTGAAAGCAAACTGATAGAATCATAGAATCATTTAGGTTGAAAAAGACCTTTTAACAATAAGTCCAACTGTAAACCTAACACTGCAAAGAGCAAAAAGGAGGGAAGGATCAGGATGAACAGGAGGCTGTATGCAGTTACATGCAAAACATCATTAGGAATAACATTAAGTCTGGTTTAAGTTACATTAAATAATACATTTGTGTTGATTTTTAAAATCAAGCAATAACACTCCCTCAAGCAATCACTGGCACAAATCCAGCCTGTCCAACAGAGACACTGAGCAAATGTAGCAGCTATTTTACAGTGTTCAAAGCAAGGCTTTGGCCATGCATGTGGTCAAGCTTTTTACAATTCTGCCCGATACTAAAAACAGACCTCAGGCAATCACATTGAGCTGGTTATACCTCTTAGTCACTTCATCAGTCTTTTTCTGTTTTGCTAAGAGGGAAAAAAAGAAAAAAAAATCCAACATTACACAGTAATACCCTACAGCATTCAATGAACTTAACACAGCTCTAATTGGTCACATTTCCCTTAAAAGATCAACACACTGAGATTTTTACCCAATGACCAAGTGGATTTAAATCACTCAGCCGTAACAAACCCTTAAAATGTCTGTGAAGAAGTTTTAACCAGAACAGACAGAAGTGTGTCTTAGAGATTTACTGAAATATACTTAACCATTCTAAATCACTATTAATTGAGTAAGTTTTACTTCCTTTTTAAGGAGAGAAGTATATTACCTGCATTTTAGGTAGCAATTTACAACCTAGTGATGTATACAAGTGGAAAAATAACATCCTAGATAATAGCTAGAATACATCAGGCATTCTTCACTAAAAATACTCAAACAAACAAATACCATGAAGAAAACCCAAACAAAACCAGCCAAAAAACCCCAGAAACACAACCCACAAACCAGCACGCACTAATACCAATTCAATTTTGATTAAATAAATTTTCTAACTATAAAAACTCACCTTTTCTGTGTCGCTTTCTTTTCCGGCATTTGTTTTCCTGTGTTGCTTGCGCTTTCATGTCATGGTGTTTCTTCTGCAGCTCCACAAATTTCTACAAGGTTAAGAAAAAAGCAAGTCACTATTTTTAATCACCACCACCACCTTTAACAAACCTCGTCCCAATATCTTAATAATCCACAGTACATTGTTATATCTATTACACTCAGATTTCTGAATTGAGAATATCCAACTCTGACGGTGTCAAACTAGAATTGGTTCTAATTTTACATCACTTCTCTCTGACTTTCTGCCCTCCCAACATCCCATGACTATTCAAATCCAACAATTTCCTCCTGGGAAGCGGCACTGAATACACTTCTGCTGGTTGTGCACTCCTGAGCTATTCCATGTGGTTTTTTTATCACAAATTAGTGCCAGCAGGGTCCTTGCACATCAGGCTGCCTACAAGGATTGATGAATGGAAGAGTAATTATTTTTTGCCAATTCTTATTTCTAATCAAGACCCTAAAACACAGATTGCTTTGCCCCCCCCCCCCCCCAGTCTTTACATGCAACAGCAAAATCAGGTTAAAAGCAACTAACTTCCACAGAAAGCAGCAGAGCACAGCTGCACTTCCCAGGGATGCATCAACACTAAGGTGGTTGATACAGAGCTGAAAATCCTAACTCAAGCAGAAAGCAACGACCAAGAAGCTCAGAGCCCATAAAGCACAGAAAACACAAGTCTTTATGCAACTGCATAGTTATTCTAACAACTCCCTACTGTGTTTTCAATCATCACTGAACTAGAGGGGAGGGAAGTTAAATTCACTTCCTATCTAAATTCCTGTTCACCTTGCCTGAAACAAGCTCAGATATAATCACCATGACTGCACTTTGATCACCTTTTATTTCATTTCAGATTTGTATAATGAATATTCCACACTGAGTTACTTTAATCTAAAAATCAGCCACTTAACTCTGAGGATGTTGCATTTAAGCTCTGGACATTGGGAGGCCTGTAATGATACCCACATTCCAAATATTCACAGGAATTCCAGGAGGGCAGGTCTGAGACTCCATTTCTCCATCTGTCACTGGCCTCACAATAGGTTCACTGCTGGCATGAGATTCCTGCCCATTCCCGGGGAATTCAGGAAGCTGAGCTCTTTCAGCATCTTCTTTTGCATCTTCCTTTGAGAAGGAACGATCTTTTGCATCTTCCTTTGGGAAGGAACCAGTAGATTCATCTTCATCATCAGAGCTTAAATCAACATCACTTTCATTCACCCCAGGAGGTAACAGTCCACTCCACATCGTCCACTTTAAACCAGTCCAAACTACTTTGAGTCACTGCAGAGACACCAAGTTACCCATCCAGGGATAAAAACAACCTGCAGGAAACAGCAAAACACATCATCAGAAAGATTTCACTGTAAGAAAACTAATCATCATTATATGTTTTAGACATGCATATAATAAAGCTTCTAATACTTACTGTTTCGAAGAGAAGCAGACGATTTGAGCAGATTGATGAGATTAGCTCGGTTTTCCCCCTCCCTCTTGTCCTTGCTTTAACACTATAAAGCGTCCCTTCGCATTTGTTTGCAGTTACTTTCAGTTTAGGAGCGACACGGCAGCCAACACCTTCCCTCCAGCGGAGAGCACATCCGATCGCTTCCAGGACGAGCACAACCAAGGCCGGGCAGGGCGAGTTCCACGGGGTGAGGATGGGCGAAGCGAAGAGCCGCACAGGGACGGCGGCAGGCGGGGGAAAGAGGGCGAAGCGCTGCGGATGAAATGAACACCGCTCCGCGACGGATGGGAGAAGGCTGAGGCCGCTGCAGCCCCGCACAGCCTCGGGAACG